AGGGAATGGGTCTATTGACTGAGTGGAGCATACAGGTACACACATGCAGGGGCCACTAGACACACAGCGGAGAGACCAGACGGTACACACACACCGATGTCCATACATCAGGTCAACTCTCTATCACTCACCTTCTCTGACACGCCATGTGACTTGACGCCACACCGCACTCCGGGCGATTGTCTCCTTGCCGCACAACGCACCCACACGCCCACCCACCCAACCAACCAAACCAACCACCGCCGCCCTCTGGCCCCTCTATCGACTCAGTCTTGCAGCGTGCAGAGGCGTCCCTGAAGAGCGGACAATCATGCAAGCACCGCATGTAGATGTATTGACCCACATCGACTGACTTACCCAGTGGAGCATCTTCATTGGTCGACGCGACGTTGGAGGGCTGCTGTTGTGTTGCGGCTGGCATCAGTGGGGGTGGGAGTGGAGAAGCGGCATCCGCTCATCTCTCTCCCCCTCCCTCTGCTCCTGTTTGTCCGTGCTCTGGCTTCTCAGCTCGCTTTGGCTTGCTAGGCGTCTTCTCCTGCGAGTCCCAATCCCATGAGTAGAGGAGCCGCTTGGAGCCCCACAGATAGTCTCGTCATGCGACGAGTGTGACGGTGATATTGATGACGGATGCGCCGAAGAGGGCTGCTGCCTGCCACTGGGAGTCTGCAGGATCGGCAGCGGCAAACGCCGAAAGCACGCCGCCAACCCACTGAAACCCACACAACGACAAACCACATTGTTTGGCCGCATAGACACGCTGAGTCTGCCTCATTACCTACCTGTGCAGAGTTGGGCCCTCCCAGCTTGCCGTGCGAGAGCGAAGCAGTTTCCCGACCTCTTTGCGGTGCGTCTTGTACCAGTCCAGTCCCTCGTCCAGAAGCCCAGCCACTGACCCCTTGGCCTCGCCCATCTTCTCACCTGCAGTACCGATGCACAAAAGTTGACCCACCCTACCCCTCCTTGGCGTGTTCTCCTCCTTCCCACCTCGGGGGAGCGTCGGTGGCGGCGTGGCGGATGCAGGGAGGGGAGGGATGATGACTGCGATGGCGTCCTTGCTGCTGTCCCCTCTTCCGTCGAACACCTCGAGAAACGGCGCGTTCTTGTTGGCGTCACCCCACTGCGGTAGGTTGACCTGGAGTGGGCTGCTCAGGTGCCTCCACGGCTCCCCACTGCCGGCAGGCAGGCGCACGCACTCCAAGGCCTTGACCAGGACGTCGTCGTAGTCGTCGTGCTCCTCGATAGTGAGCTTGAACTCGACAGGAGAGCTGTCAGCTCTTCTCCTCACCGGTTGTTTCCCCTCAGGATCCCAGCAAAGAAGGAAGCGCTTCTTCACAGACATCGCTGTCAGCGCGAGTGCGGCATTGTACGTCGACAGATCCTTGACCCGAAAGGATCTGTACGCGCATCACAACCAAGTCACACACCACGCGCCGCATGAAGAGATCTCTGCCGTCACAACACAAGTGGCGAGTTCGGATGTCCAGTTCGGGTATCTACTCACCAGGTCAATGAATGAAGTGCCCTCCAGGGACCGAAACGGGTGTTCCGTTGGGGAAGCGACGTTGTACAGCACTGATGTAAGCGAAGATCCGGAGTGTGTGTGACCTAAGCTCGCACCTCCTCTCTGAAGGTTTCACGAGCAAAATCTTAGGGCAAAAGCGCAAGACATTTCTCGCGAAGAGATCTGCACTCACCGTATGCCCGGCTACGGAGAGGTTTGTCGCCGCAGAAGTCTAGAGAGATCTTCCCGTCACTCCATCATGACGTCCATCAGTGTGTTGCTGCTGCTGCTGCTGCTGGTGAGCCAACTGTCGGTGGCCATCAGCCCTACCGAAGCGGCCACGGCCGGCACACAGGTCGGTCAGGCAGCCGAAGAAGCAATGGGCAGCGCTTCTGATGTGTGTGTTTGTCGTGCAGTCTGCCGGTTTTGCCCTTCGTCGCCGTCCCATTCCGCCCCTCAGTGTGTCCTCGTCGGCCAACCACATTGCGTATCGCGACGACCCGAAAGTGACGGTGGCGCGCTCGATCATGGACGTCTTCGCTGCCGCCCCGGTGAACGTGTACGTCAACATCACCGTCAATGGGAAGGAGAAGGGCACGTTTGTCATCAAATGCAGTCCCGACATGGACCTTGGCGACGTCCTGGAGCAGATTTGGGGCCCCCCGTCGGAGATCGTCAAAGACCTCGACACCTGGGCCTTCATGTACAAGGGAACTAAGCTGCCCGTGAGCGACACTGTGGCCGAGGTGCTGGAGAACACGGGCGGCAAGGACGCAGCCACCGCCATCACACTCGACGTCACCAAAGCACCAAGTAAGCCAACCAGCTAGGCAGCCAGCCAGTCAGCCGTAGGATGGTGCAGGGGAGGGGGGGGGGAGGGAAAGAC